AAAGCTGTAACTTTTATGTTAGGCCAAAACATATGCGTTTCAGGTAACATGCCAGAAAATTAGGATAGGGCGGTAGACAAATAATTTCGGCGAGGTTTGCATGGCTATTTTATTAATCTTGGATGCAAGTAGGTGATAAAACATTCTAGGGTCGGCAGTGAAGTCTAGGGTAGGGCGGGATACCTGAAACACACAGATTTGTTTGGTCTTAAATGCATCTGTGTTGCAATGTTAGCGACCACCTACCACAAGAGTACACTTTACGAACTTATCGAAGGTTGTCACAGAACAAAGGATTTATTACCATTTTTTCGTTTATAATCCCTTTTGCATTTCAAGGATATTTCTAAAAGTGAGTCCATCATTAAGCAGTCTGAGACCTCAGTCCTACATGTAATATCAATTTGTAGAATTCAATATCTCACACACAAATTACACTTTCATAAAAATGCAACCTAAGAAATGCATAACCACTCAAATTTGTATCAAAATCAATATTAATAACTATTTCATGATACTGTTGCAGGGCCAAGAATGTCCAATAATCAAATATTGATTAAACCATATTTCTCCTGGAACTGTGTCTACAGTGGATAGCTAAAGCCTATATCAACGCTATAGTGTATCCTAGTGTACACTCACATTCTGATATGGAAATCAAAATATAATTTAAATTAAAATTTCATTTACGGTCTCGGACATGGGTAAAATTGTAAATTTTAATATCATATAGTACTATAACTAATATGACAATGCCACATTTACCTGTTTACATGAAAAATAACATCAATAGAAATGTAGAGTGAAGAGAGTATCCCCCTTTGCCACTACTTCATATAAGGCAACTAGCAATATTTAAAAATTGAAAATAAGAATTAAAAATTTTAAATAAAATTTTACAACAATCATAAATGAAGTTTTATCAAGCTAGGCTGGATATTCTTGTTGGCTCGGATCGTAGCGCGCAGTACCTGATGAAAAAAACAAGTAGTCTGAGTGCATGTGCCTGTTTATGTCCAATCGAGAAAGTAACCTGCCTGCGATCGTTTTTGTTTAAGTGGATTGCGCCATCCACTGCGCCCCCCAACGCTTCAGCAGTATTGCACTTCAATATACAACGCTACATACCAGATAACTATAAAGCAAACCAGTATCACAAATTCTACTTTGACCAAACGTTTTTTTTTTTTATATTTTGAGGTAAATTTAATAATCCATATAAGTGTAGATAAGATATGTGCTTGTAAAAATATACAGATATACAATGGATATTAACTGGCAAGGTAACGATAAGTCATATTGTATTCCATTTCTTTTGCAGGCATCTCACATGTTGACAACAAAACATGTTTGGAGATACCTATACACATTGTCAGCCCTTAATACAAAACAGTCAATTCTTACACAAATCAGGAGATCTTGTTCATTACATACATCGTCAGTCCTTGTGAACATTTACACACATCGTCAGTCCTTGTGAACATTTACATACATCGTGAGTCCTTGTGAACATTTACATACATCGTCGGTCCTTGTGAACATTTACATACATCGTCAGTACTTGTGAACATTTACACACATCGTCAGTCCTTGTTAAAATTTAGATACATCGTCAGTCCTTGTGAACATTTACCCACATCGTCAGTCCTTGTGAACATTTACATCCATCGTCAGTCCTTGTGAACATTTACATACAGCGTCAGTCCTTGTGAACATTTACACACATCGTAAGTCCTTGTGAACATTTACATACATCGTCTGTCCTTGTGAACATTTACACACATCGTCAGGCCTTGTGAACATTTACATACATCGTCAGTACTTGTGAACATTTACACACATCGTCAGTCCTTGTGATCATTTACATACATCGTCAGTCCTTGTGAACATTTACCCACATCGTCAGTCCTTGTGAACATTTACAGTCACCGTCAGTCCTTGTGAACATTTACACACATCGTCGGTCCTTGTGAACATTTACACACATCGTCACTCCTTGTGAACATTTACACACATCGTCAGGCCTTGTGAACATTTACATACATCGTCAGTCCTTGTGGATATCTACACTATTTTTGACATTAAGAACACCTTCCTGTTCCTCTATCACTTATCCTCCTTTCTGTGATAATGTTTTTAAATATTTATAGTTTATCAAACTAGCACTTTACTACTGTTATACATTAACACCTTACTACCAAGCGTGAATGATGAAAAATTCCATTTCTTTTGCAGGCATCTCACATGTTGACAAAAAAACATGTTTGGAGATACCTATACACATTGTCAGCCCTTAATACAAAACAGTCAATTCTTACACAAATCAGGGGAGCTTGTTCATTACATACATCGTCAGTCCTTGTGAACTTTTACATACATCGTCAGTCCTTGTGAACATTTACACACATCGTAAGTCCTTGTGAACATTTACATACGTCGTCTGTCCTTGTGAACATTTACATACATCGTCTGTCCTTGTGAACATTTACACACATCGTCAGGCCTTGTGAACATTTACATACATCGTCAGTCCTTGTGGATATCTACACTATTTTTGACATTAAGAACACCTTCCTGTTCCTCTATCACTTATCCTCCTTTCTGTGATAATGATTTTAAATATTTATAGTTTATCAAACTAGCACTTTACTACTGTTATACATTAACACCTTACTACCAAGCGTGAATGATGAAAAATTCCATTTCTTTTGCAGGCATCTCACATGTTGACAAAAAAACATGTTTGGAGATACCTATACACATTGTCAGCCCTTAATACAAACCAGTCAATTCTTACACAAATCAGGAGATCTTGTTCATTACATACATCGTCAGTCCTTGTGAACTTTTACATACATCGTCAGTCCTTGTGAACATTTACCCACATCGTCAGTCCTTGTGAACATTTACATACATCGTCAGTCCTTGTGGATATCTACACTATTTTTGACATTAAGAACACCTACCTGTTCCTCTATCACTTATCCTCCTTTCTGTGATAATGTTTTTAAATATTTATAGTTTATCAAACTAGCACTTTACTACTGTTATACATTAACACCTTACTACCAAGCGTGAATGATGAAAACGTATAAACAGTTTCAAAAGAAAAGAATACTTTAAAAAAAAATAATTAAAACATATAATATTCATTCACCGGTTTTGTCTTTGGTCTTACAAAACTGTTATAACACGTCTTTACTCCATGCTGACAATCTGTCAAACAGGATAACCTTCATTTAACAAACATATTCTTAGATGAGCTACCTCTGTATTACTGAGCCACCTCTGTATTACTAACGCCTGTCAAAAGCATGTTTTTTTTAACAATCACCGGCAGAAAAGGGCCCCTGTAGAAGTCACCTGTCTAAGTAAAACGGGCAAGTATTTATGAAACCATTGTTGTCCTCGGCCGTGAATTATGTACTTAAATCGTGCGAGACAGTCAAAATGCCAGGTCCAGGCATCCAGAACAGTTTTTCCATATACATGTCTCCTCAAATTCTTCAAAACTATTAACACAATTTGAATTTTATAATTGTGACATCGGAATCAGAAACGGTGTGTGAGCACATTATCTGAATGTGAGGATGATAACGGTTTCATGGATACTGGCTCTTCTCAGTAAAACTATCACCTGTCTACAAAGACCATCTCTGTATAACAACTACTGTCTACATGGAACACCTGTATATAACTATCACCTGTGTACAAGGCCATACTCTAAATAACAACCATCAAGTATACTGTGGGACTAGCTAAAAGAAGTTAAAAAAAAATCTCCAGTATTTAGTAAACTCATTCACCCCTGAAATTTCATAATGAACTATTCCAACCTTTGAATTGGGAGATTTCAAATGTGTCTTCAGGGGTGAATGAGTTAATGTTTCTTTTTTCAGTCCAGTATTTTTACTGGAAAAAGAACAATACTAATATTATCATGATAGTAAAATAAATTTTCAAACGTATCTATAATCAAATGTGACACAAAAGGTATTTACCCTTTCACCACTGTAGACCATAATGGACTCATCCACAACAATGAATGGGAGAGTCTACTAAAGTTACATAGGGGTGAAAGGGTTAATTCTCAGTAATTTTTTCATGAGTTGTCTAAAAGGCCACCACTATATCGCAATGTATCACATGTGTAGTTAGACATTCCGTTTGATTGGAGGAATGCACCGGGTCTTAATATTCTCAAAAATTTAATGGTTAATTCTCAGTAAATTTTTCATGAGTTGTCTAAAAGGCCACCACTATATCGCAATGTATCACATGTGTAGTTAGACATTCCGTTTGATTGGATGCACCAGGTACAATATTATCAGAAAACAAAGACCATCATAACATAATTAGTAATATCATCAACAGGTATTGATTTCAGACTAAATCTACTAAATCTATTTTTTGTCTGCAATTTTTTGATTTAGAAATTAATAAACCCGTTATTCTTTGCAATGGTTACGAAATCGTTATAAACATTAGAACATCAGCGAAATATATCTGAAGAACGTAATGATGTTAAAATAAATCTGAAGAATTAAGCCAACTATTGGTCCACCATTCTCAACTTTCCAGAAGGTTTCCCTCAACCAAGTTTTCGACACCCCTGATATATGTCATGACCAATAGAAGACACGATGTTAGCTGGTGGATTGACAGGTGCATGACCAATCGCTAGGCTGATGCATGTCCTTTGAAGATTAGGACATCCGACATCAAAGCCAGTCAATTTTACCATTACATTTCGCTCCCATGCGATTGTTTTGATGTACATCAAAAGATCAAACTAGTCTCTCTGCATATTCCACAAGGTGGTGGTTACAGAACCTTTGATTTTGTCATGAAATAACTTCTGCTTTCAGCGTCGTTCTAATATCTGCAAAAACTGGACTCAACAAAAAACGTTATAACAATAGCCACCAGAGATGAACATTTACAAATGAATCTATCAAATGTTAAATCCAGCAAATGCCCGTTTTTTATACATCCATTCCATACTAAACCAACAAAAACTTCGCTTCAGTAACGATAACTGAACATAGTTTTCCTAAATTGTTTCTAAACAGATGTTATCTGACCTTTATATATATCGAACCATATCTCCATTCCTTGTAGTAAACAAATTCCAGGAATATTTCCCAGATGTCATTGTTTTATTTGATATATCAGCAACACCTGAACAACTATTCATAAAAAAATATAAAAAAAAAATGTCACTAAATAAAACTGAAATATGTTCAGAAAGGTATGGAATAGAAGAGTATTATGATTATAATTTTTTTCTTCTTCAAAAGTCACCTTTTGGTATAAGTTTATTACGAATATTGAATTTACTCTAAACTTGAAATATAGTCAAAGAGTTCATATTTCTTATAATAAAAAATGCTTTTTCTGAAGTATGTATATTCTCACTGAAATGTTTTTTACCCGATTTATTTTTTCCATTATCATAAAACAATTTTCTCAGCAGATGTTTTCAAATGTTTTAAACAAAATATGTATTTAAAAAGTAGCAGTTAACATTATAAACTTAAGGTAATGGATACCACTCTATCAGTCACAATCGCAAAGAAGAGTTCCACATGTTTTTTTTCTATTCTCCCTTCTATACAGAAGATAAAAGAGTAGAGTTACTTCCCCTGTCAAGTATTTTGTATGCTTTGCGTCTATAAATTGCTGGACACTTGTTATGATGCTGTGCTTGCACAAGTATAATTCCTGCATGGCAGCAAAAGTAAAATGTTGGCTTTGCAATGTTAGGGTCAGAAGTTTGACCTCTGCAGTTACGTTTTATTTTTGATTTAATCATTAATTTTCTTTTGAAAATGCCTAACAGTAGTGACAATGGTTATGATATGGTTTAACTTATTAACCCCCTGAAGACATATTTGAACTCTTCCAATTCAAAGGTTGGAATAGTTCATTATGAATTTCAGTGGTGAATAAGTTAACTAAATGGTACCCTTTACCTTAAGTGCCAATAAGCATAATTTCAAAAACTAAACTATGGAAACCTTGAAGGAGTACACATGCTTGATAGTATTTTTTTTCTCTCTCGAGGAATATGGTCCAGATTACTAGACATAGGAAACATACAATCTACAAGAGTTATTTAATGTCGCAAATTTAAAACAGTAAACATTAGCACTGTAGTGCTATTCTAGCAACTGTATCAGCCGCACAGGAAACACAGACTTGTATCTAAACAAGGAATATAGAGGATGAGGACTCATGATCAGCACCAAACTCTGTAGGATTACCGTAATTGATGGAATAACAAATAAATCTTTCTGTGAGGTAAGTATTTTCCTTTTCTTCAGTAGGTGACAATTTACAGTGACAATTGCACTCCATCAAGGAGATCTGTCACTTAATGGATGATGATGATGAGGAATTTAATATGGTAAATATGGTATATTTCATTGTTTAATGTCAAAGGTCAAAGTAGGTGCCGATCAAAGTGAATTCTTATCTATATATCCAGCTTTTTTTCTATACCAGCAGGCAATATTCAATACTCAAGGTTTTCCCCGGACAACGATTATCTATCAATAACAATTTAAAATGTCTTCATCATGGACGAGTTCATCACAGCTCTGGCCAGCACACTGCCACAATAATTTCATTTCTGAATGAGCATATTTACAATAACTATACATTTGTCAATTAAATGTTCTCATAATCTTAAAATAATTACATCTTATAACCAAATCAGATAATGTGTAAGATGGTGTGTACATACTGTACAACAGCTTGGATGTTTAAATAAGGACTTCAGAATCTCTCGTCTAGGAACCTCAACACGACTTCAAACCACAATAATGTCACATTGAAAATACCCTAAAACCTTCATATTGAGCCACAACTTATTTTAATTTTTTGTAAGAAATATAAGGCTTTTATTTTTTAAAGTAGTCCTTTTTTTCAAAATCATTCAATGAGTTGTCAATGGCTTGTTTTCAAATCTGTCTGCTTAACTCTTTCACCACTGTAGACTATAGTGGACTCATCCAGATCAATGCATGGTAGAGTCTACTATAATAGCATAGGGGTGAAAGGGTTAAGCATGCAATTATATAAAGTTCTGCAGGTGTTTTAATGAAATCAAAATTCTTTTTTCTCTTCTTTGATGAAATTGTTGCAATAATTAATAAATTATACAATGTGGTGTCAGCTGTAAAACCAATTCACCCCTAAAGTTACATTGGAACCTTACCAAATCAAAGACTGGGCAAGTCCAGTGTAAAAATGCAGGAGTGAATAAGTTAAGACCAACAGTGCAGCAAAATGTGCCTCCAACCTGGAATCCAATGCACATTTTTAACCCTTTCACCCCTATGTAACTTTATTAAACTCTACCATGCATTGATCTGGATGAGTCCATTATGGTCCACAGTGGTGAAAGGGTTAAGGCCTGTCAATTTTCAAAGGGAGATAAAGATCAACATGTGTTTTTTCTGAAAGGAATCAAAAGATAATTTTCAAAGCCAACCTGTTTTGAAATCAGTATTATTATGGAGGTTTTAGTGTATTCTCAATTTCAATTTTAAGAGCCCCACCTCCTCCATCAGCTCATCTTCTAATTCCATATGAAGAAATTAGAGAGGGAGATCAAATATTTCTACCAGTAGTGGCTCAATGCTTTCCACTTTCATTTTGAGTAACATTTTTGTGTGAAGTTCGTTGATGTCACGAAGGTCTGTCAGCTTCATGATAACCTTGGCAAAGAGAATCTTTTCATCAGGGAAGCGTGCGCCTACATAGGCCTGCAGAATCTGGGCGTAGCATTCCTGAATCTCCTCAATCTTATGTGTCTCTTCAAGGCCCGGACGATCTGATGAAAACAATGACAGCATTATAAGTATTTTGAGCATTAGGACATCCCCATGGATGGTTTTCATGAGTGACTTGATAAAAGTTGCGTAAGACATAAACATAGCACGAGTTTCACTGTTCCCATTCTTAAGCAGTTCAGCTCCGATCTTCGCTGCTGGTGAATCCCCTAACGTTCCATCCTTAACCTTCTGTTGAAATTGAGCACGCAATTGACTTAAGTCTGCACCTCCTGAAAACTTGGCACGCAACTGACTTAAGTCAGCGCCACCTGAAAACTGGGCACGCAGTTTTTCGATGTCGAGTGAGGCTCCAGTCCTGGAGCATGAGGTAGATGAAGAAGTACTGCTAACTTCCATCTTTATTCCAGCCGTGTCTGGCAGTACCGGACTGGACTTGTCTTTAGGAGGGAACACATTGTGAAGCTTGGTGAGGTCTAGATCAGCAGGATGGTTGTTATCATTGGCAGCGACATTACTGGTCTGTGAGCTATGAGGTAGACTTGTACCAAGTGGTTCTTTACCAGGCAAACTTGTAGAATTGGCCTGGTCATTCTTCAAACAAGTTTTGGTGCTCAGATTCCATGATTCGGTCGCAACATCATAATTAACTGCTGACCGCAACATCATTATTTCTGTAACAGAACCTTTCAGCAAAGCAATCTGATCTTCTTTTGTTACCATTTTAAAAAATTCAATGTTTTTAGCCAATTTTATTACTCTACGTACAAAACCCTCTGCTACATTGATGAACTCTGTAGCATTAGTTGGTATACTTTTAATTTCTGTTGAAGTGTTGGCAAGAAAGGCACTTTGCTCATTAGCCCGCAATAGTTCTCTCAATACACTACGATTAATTTCCGGCATCTTGCTGATGGTATCTTCTGTAAGTTCCTGCGATTCTATCCAAGAAGGACAAGCCTCATCTTCCTGCGTTGAACGGGAACTTTTCAGTTCATCAATGTTTTCTTGTTTTAATTTTGAAAGCATACCTAATTCTTTTTCTGAAAGATTCGGAAATGTGGAGCGTAACTCATCACGACTTTGTGAGCAGATTTTTGCCTCGAACTCTTCGGAGAGTTCCACAGATGTGCTAGCACACGATTCCTCCAGTGGTAACTGTCCATGTTTCTTTAATTTGTTAATTATGATCTTCTGCTTCCGTACTTTTTTCTGTTGTTCATCTGGAAAAAAGAACAATGCTTTTATTTATATTCAAATAATTATACCTCATGATAGTAATACATGTGTTTTTCTAGGGTCTATATGTTTGGTTTTGGTTTGTTTTTGTTTTACGTCCTATCAACAGCTATGGTCATAAGGACCTGCCAGGTTTTGTGGTGGAGAAAGCCGGAGTTCCCGAAAAAACCCACCGACCTACGGCCAGTACCTGGCAACTGCCCTTTGTAGGCCTCAGCCCATGACCCAGTGGTGGAGGGCTAGTGGTAGCAGAATGTCAGACGCCTTACCACTTGGCCACTGGCCCCGGGTCTTAAAGTACAAAATGTCAGTGAAACCCAGCATCCTTAACAGGTGTTTTGTATAGATCATTATTAAGTTTTTTCCATGTAGCTCATACTCACCCAGACGATGACTTTGTGACACTTGTTAATTTGATATATTAGGGAATATTAAGAAAGTCAATGAAGCTGAAAATGTTGGTGAAAGTCAGCATCACCAACAGGTGTTTTGTAGAGTAATCTTAATTTCCTCAATCTGATGCAAGTATTATCCATATCACACCTATAACTTCACAGATAAGGACAGGTGCTTGCTTAAAAAGTGCTTGCCAGCGAAACTAGCTAGTTATTTATCAACTTTGAACTAGAGAAGAGGAGAAAAGCAACTCCTGACTCCAGGTATCCATAAATGTATTTAATACTATTGACTTCATACAGAGTGACTTTATTAATCACACGTAAAATTTGCAGGAATGTACAATTTAGCCTACATGCTGAAATGTAGGCTAAATAAGGCATTAAAACAAAATATTACATATGTTTCAAAAACATATAAGTGTAATTCTAATTTATTTCAAAACATTTTTATTTTATGACCGGACATTTCGCTAACTATCGATTAGTAGTGAAAAGAACCATTTTGGCCTGTATTATAAACATAACTTACATTGAATATGTTTGCAAATCCTAATTTTTTAATTAAGAACATAATTTCAAAGAAAAATTAAAAAAGAATGCCTTCAGACAATTATGTAGTATTTAGAGTAACAATGCATTTCATGAATTCAAAAGCCCTCACAGAGTTCACCATTCACCCCTAAAGACACATTTAAACCCTTCCAATTCAAAGGTTGGAATAGTTCATTTTGAATTTTCAGGGGTGAATGAGTGAATCTACAAAATTAGTGCACCTACTGTGTATATAATAGGCCACTATGTACATGCCCCGAGTATCTCAGCCATGCCTCTTTTAACTGATTATACACAAGAGTTATCTCCCTTATTGATTATCTGTATACACCAGCAAGGAAAATCCTGGCATTTGAGAGCAGTAGGCCATTTCAGTAATATTTCATCTATTTCAAAATTAAGAGATGCCATTCTATGTAAAATTAAAAGAAAGTTGGAACATGGAGAGGTCAATTTCAGTTTTGAGGGGTCAATGGCCCGGCCCCATGGCCCCTCCAGGATTATCCCTGTATCAGTAAAGCCTCTTAGTATTTACAAGATGTTATCCCCATAATAGAGTATAGATCTATGGAAAGGATTTAATGTCCTAATTGAGTATTAACAAGAGTTATGTCCCTTACTGATTATCAAAGTACATCAGTAAAACCTCTTAGTATTTACAAGACGTCACCATTACTGAATATCAATGTACATGATTAAATGTCATTATACTCACTCTCGGTATCAACAAGAGTTATGCCCCTTCCTGCCTCTCTTTCTATATCAATTATGCCCTTTAATTATCACTTCTATCTGTCTATGAGTTTTCTCTTAATGAGTATTTATGTTCATTATTTACTGCCCTTAGTGAGTATCTTAAAGAGTTATGCCCCCTTAAATGAGGATTTTCATGTAAGTGTGCACTATTTTCATATCGTTCCTTCGATTTTAAAAGAGATAAGGGCCTAACCAAACTTCTAAAGGCATTACCTGCCACTTACTTTATTTCCTAAAGGGTTATGTCCCTTACTGAATATCACAACAAGTTATTACTCTATGTACATCTTGCAGGTCACACCATCAATATTTACCTTCACAGGCAACCATCTTATGACCAGCACGAGTCATTCAAATCTCCCATATTCCCTTTACATGACCCACAACCATGCACACTGTATGTGCAGGAAAATATCCACTTTCCAGAATTATCACTTTATTAAGCTTTCTCCAGCCTTTTCTCTTTACCAAGTTTTTACTAGAGTTATTCCACTTTATGAGTATCTGCAATAGTTAAGCTCCTTACTGAGTTTCTGCAACAATTAAGCCCCTTACTGAATATCTACTAGAGTTATGCCTCTTACAGGGTTTCTTCATGAGTTATGTCCCTTTATGAGTATCCTGAATAATTAAGACACTTACTAAGTTTCTACTAGAGTTATGCCCCTGACAGGGTTTCTTCATGAGTTATGCCCCTTTATGAGTATCTACAATAATTATTCCCCTTACTGAGTATCATGTCTTTCCGCATGCCGACTGTAAAGCACTTTTGGAGTCGGCATCTCTTACAGAAGGAGCGCGACTCCACATTGACGTCACACTTCCCCTCACAGCGCCCTCGTATCGTCTGCAAAGACAAACAAAAAATGACTTTGAATAAAAAGAAGTGGAGAATCAATTTCAGAAGCATTCAACAATGGTTTCACATTACATTTTTTTGAGAGATCATTATCGTAAAATTCCTTCTGAGAGGTTGTCAAATTTCTTGATTTATAGTCCATCAACAATTAACTTTTCATTTTCTTCTTGTGAATGAAACCATATTAAAATGAAAATGAAGCAGGTTTTTTTCCTGAAAATTAAAATGCTTTATTAATTTTAAGTTAATGTGAAATTTATCAGGTGCAACGTATGCTGCTCTGCCGGTCCCAGAATATTAATTTCAGGGTCATATCATAGTTATGGTTTATATATGTTAATATAATTAAAATTTTCAATGAAGACCCAGACAGTTCTCCTGCTAACCACAAAAGGAGTATTGAAAAGCTGAACAACGCCTGTGCAGGTCGGATCTCAAGTAAAGATTTTTCTTCGGTAGGACATAGAATAAAATTATTTATAGTCTAAACCAAATTTGTTAGTGCAGATAGTGAAGATCTAGCTGGTTTGGAGTGGAGATTAATTAGTTGTAACTCGGTTAGGGAAGATTTATCAGAGAGGAAATCATGCGCTGATAAGATAAATTAGAGTGGAAATTCATCGGAGCGCAAATATTTTGGACAGCAGTTACATCAGTGCCAAAACCCTTCGGGAATGGAGATTTTCGTGCAGAATTATTGAAAGAATTTTGTTTTGCAAACTTGCAAACTTTAAATTTCTCATAATTTTCGTTTCTGATCATTTTTGAATGGTTCATTTAGGGAACAAACTTATACTGTATTTGGAGATTTGTGACTGTATATTGTAATTATAATATCACAAATTAAGTTTTACTAGCCATGGTGCATAACATCGCAAATTTAGTTTTACGTACGGTGACAAATATGTCAAAATACTGTAGGATTATCACCATATATATTTTTATCTCCTGAAATTACCTAAAGAAATAACAATTTTAAAACGTTTTTGTGTGTTTTCTTCAATATATGGGTCTCTCTACCGAATCGGTGAAGTCCGAAACATTCAAAGTGAGGCAAAATAAAATTGACCTTTCGGGATCATGCTATTGTTTGTGATATCACTAAAAATGAATTTCATGTGTCGGGGTCAGTGACATTATCAACAATCGCCATAATATTGTAAATGAAAAAAATTCAGACAGTATATGGTCATAAATCCACACAAATTTTTTTCAGTTCACCAACCAAATGGCATGTTACATTTCAAATAAATAACAATTATCGTACTTGGGTTTTTTTGGGTTAAATTTTGAAATGTTTTAAATATAAGATCATAGAAAACACTTATATTAACAGGTTTATGAAACTTTCAATTAAATAACAATTATAGTATTTTAATTTTTTGGTTAAATTTTGAAATGCTTTAAATATAAGATCACAGAAGACACTTGTTTGTACAGGTATATGTACATATTTAAACTTTCAATATTTATCAAGGCTGTGACAATAACAAAGAAATGTATGTTTAATTGGAGTTTAAATAGTCTCCAATGCACAATACAGAGCTAATTTAGAACTAATTGAATTGTTCTTGTTTGATTGGAGTTTAAATAGTCTCCAATGCACAATACAGAGCTAATTTAGAACTAATTGAATTGTTCTTGTTTGATTGGAGTTTAAATAGTCTCCAATGCACAATACAGAGCTAATTTAGAACTAGTTGAATTGTTCCTGTTTGATTGGAGTTTAAATAGTCTCCAATGCACATTACAGAGCTAATTTAGAACTAGTGGAATTGTTCTTGTTTGATTGGAGTTTAAATAGTCTCCAATGCACAATACAGAGCTAATTTAGAACTAATTGAATTGTTCTTGTTTGATTGGAGTTTAAATAGTCTCCAATGCACAATACAGAGCTAATTTAGAACTAATTGAATTGTTCTTGTTTGATTGGAGTTTAAATAGTCTCCAATGCACAATACAGAGCTAATTTAGAACTAATTGAATTGTTCTTGTTTGATTGGAGTTTAAATAGTCTCCAATGCACAATACAGAGCTAATTTAGAACTAATTGAATTGTTCTTGTTTGATTGGAGTTTAAATAGTCTCCAATGCACAATACAGAGCTAATTTAGAACTAATTGAATTGTTCTTGTTTGATTGGAGTTTAAATAGTCTCCAATGCACAATACAGAGCTAATTTAGAACTAATTGAATTGTTCTTGTTTGATTGGAGTTTAAATAGTCTCCAATGCACAATACAGAGCTAATTTAGAACTAATTGAATTGTTCTTGTTTGATTGGAGTTTAAATAGTCTCCAATGCACAATACAGAGCTAATTTAGAACTAATTGAATTGTTCTTGTTTGATTGGAGTTTAAATAGTCTCCAATGCACAATACAGAGCTAATTTAGAACTAATTGAATTGTTCTTGTTTGATTGGAGTTTAAATAGTCTCCAATGCACAATACAGAGCTAATTTAGAACTAATTGAATTGTTCTTGTTTGATTGGAGTTTAAATAGTCTCCAATGCACAATACAGAGCTAATTTAGAACTAATTGAATTGTTCTTGTTTGATTGGAGTTTAAATAGTCTCCAATGCACAATACAGAGCTAATTTAGAACTAATTGAATTGTTCTTGTTTGATTGGAGTTTAAATAGTCTCCAATGCACAATACAGAGCTAATTTGGAACTAGTGGAATTGTTCTTGTTTGATTGGAGTTTAAATAGTCTCCAATGCACAATACAGAGCTAATTTAGAACTAATTGAATTGTTCTTGTTTGATAGGAGTTTAAATAATTTTAACCAAAGTGGGCAATACCTTCCCATTACATTTTGAATGTGGCAGCTGAGTTTCCATGACAACAGTAGTGCACTAGACCTGTTGTCATGACGCCAGACTCATACACTTTTTATTGCAAATTGAAGCACTTTCTACACCAAGACCACAGCTAATCCGACAACATATTTATGGGTGTGGGTTTAAAGACCAATCCTAAGGGAATTAAACTTTAGTGTTGAACAGGTATTTTCAGACAAAAATCAACCAAAGAAATCCTTACTATTCAGTGAATCAACTTAAACCTCAAGATATTTTCGCTCTCTGCACCCCTGGAATTTGTCATAGCACAGAGATAGCTGTTTGATTGGTCTCAGTTAAAATAATCTGACCAATCGCGGCTGATACCAGTCCTTTTACGAATAACATTAAGACTGAATCAATTTTTTCGGCTACACTGAAACTTTTAAATCATTTCCAGGCCGGATTTGATTTTACTAATTATCACGGAAAGAAGAAAATGGGCTTGAGCAGAGAATCTGAGTGTGAGTATGAAACAGTTTCATGAGTACGGGCCCTGAACTCACAATTCCCTGTGAGACTTAATTACCAACTCTTTTGGATCCCACTATGATCTCAAAGTAACGGGACTAATCAAAATTTTGAAGAAAAAGTTCAGGTCTCACATGAAAAATTTCTACAGAACTCACTGACTACAAATCTTAAGTCAGTAGTAAAAATTAGGGTTTATAAGGAAATGCTGCAGACCAGGAATATTATATTAATATAATCCATCCCTGATGTGAGGTATGGATAAGGTTATTCAAACCCAAGGGATGAATTATTGAGCAGGAGACCCGAGGCTTTGCTGAGGGTCATTAGCTCAATATTTTATCCCGAGGGTTTAAATAACCTTATCCTTACCTCACATCAGGGATGGATTCTATTTCTTGCTTATTACCTAAAACCCTTAAAAATAGCTGCTCTTCTAGTAAAGTTGTAAACTGTCCACACATTCTGATTTGCATATGAAGCCTGGATGACAATTATTAGTGACGTCAATGACCCTGACTGACCCCAAAACGTCATTAAATGACGTCACGAACAATAGCGTGACCCCAAAAGGTCACTATAATTCCCCCGCCAGTCTGCGTACTAGACCCGTGGGTCGGATAGAATTTTCCAGCACCGCCGGAAATGCAGATATCTCGGTCTAGTATGCAAGAAATAATTATCCAACACAGTTAAGGAATATCAACCAAACAGCATACTTGCCATGGGGAGGTCTTCATCACGCTCAAAATTAAAACCTGAATAAAATGTGTGTATGTAATGTTACCCCCTAGAGAAAAATTTAAAATAAAAAACACCCTTTAAATGACATATTCTGAGCTGTTATTTCAGGTGAAATAATTAGATCTTAGAAGATAAGAATAGCTTAGCAAATTCACTGGTTGTGAATGCTAAAATAAGGGTCCAAAATTGGAAGCCTTCAGCTTCTAAAAGGGAGGGTTTGCACTAGTTTGAGACAGCTTGTAAAATCAACATCTTAGTTTGAAGGATAATCGTATTATACAATGGTGACGTATTAAATCCCTCAATGAGAAATAACAAATCTACACAGATGTAGGTCAATAAGAAACAGGTGTTGGTTCGGATACACTTCAGGTTTGTAGGTATTATAAAGGTCCTCTTATGAAACACAACTGAAAACTCTTACCATTTGTCAGCAGCTTTTATAAGAACAAATCTATCAAATCTCAAACTATACCTAATTATAAATCCCCCTCCATTGACCTTTGGGGGGCAGATTCTTCAATTATCGTTTTCATTTCCTTACTTTTGAAATCATTACACAATTTGCTACCTCTTGCTTTTTTCTAGATTTAAACGGATATTTAGTGCAAACCCCCCCCCCAAAAAAAATTTGGACATTTTACACTTAATTATACAAACAAGAGGCTAAGGGGCCCATGTCCAGGGATTAATCTGGGATTAAATAGGAATTTCCTAGTCCAGTTAGTCTGGTGACGATAAATTGCTGCCTGTAGACTTCAGGGCTCAATGGGAGAACAAGCAAGGAGATGGACTTTAACTCAATCACCCCTGAAATTTCATAATGAACTATTTCAACCTTTGAATTGGAAGAGTTCAAATGTGTCTTCAGGGGTGAATGAGTCAAACCGATTTCAGTGTTAACTTGATATGTCTTACTCAATCACAT